TGATTTCATGCTGGTGGGCTGTGCCACGTGCTGCCGAGGTGTGTGTTTCACTCTGTCTTTATCTCATCATATTGTCCCACAGCCTTGTTCACCATTTCTGGTGGGCTAAGAGATGACATTAGTGTTTTATATTTTCGTGTATTTGTGTGGTCATGCTAGAGATGACATTTATTTCAACAGATGTTTCTTACAGACAGAGCAGCAGTGACATTGAAGCTCTACATCAGGATTTTGTCATGCAGCCCTTTCTTTGGAAGATGCAGATGAACAAGGAACTGAGAGTGATGCAGGGGGACATACCAAGAGCTCAGCAAAAGGTAATCCTCAGGAAGGAGGTCCTCTAAAAACATCTCCACTACGGAATCTGGTAAAAGCATCTTCATGTGAGACCCTCTCTGAATAGTTTGCAGTGTGGCGTAATTTAAATGCAATTTACTGGGGGGATTGTTTCTCAATCTGTTATTTATAGGGTTTGTTTAAATGGAATCTGGGAATCATTGGCTTAAATATAAAGTTAGAGCTGAACATAGGATAAAATTTTAGTTCCCCTATAATATGTCTTCCCAAATTAAGAAATCACTTAGTATTTTCACATTATTTATGCTTTTCCCTGAACATATGCTAAAGTTATTTTTTAAATAGAGACGGTATTTGGGATCATCTAAATACATATTTAGTGTGTGTGTGTGTGTGTGGGTGCGCGTGTGTGTGTGGGTGCGCGTGTGCGTGTGTGTGTACACCCATACTCGTATATTTGATGTATGTAGAGGGGACGGAGAGAAAATGTATAGACATATAGTTCAAATGTAAATACCTAAGAAGATCTTGTACAAGCAGGTTTACAGTGGGAAGCTGGGGTGATTATATGTGCCATTTTGTTACCTGTGTCAATCGGAGACAGTTTCATTTTGGTGGTATTAGACATTAAATTAAGCAATTTACATAACATTTTTGGTTGCTGTTTTAGCTTTCCTCCCCTCTTGGATCTGCCCACGGCGGAGGAGCTGATGAAACCTGTCAGAATAGATTCCTTTGGGGCTGGTGGTTTTGATTTACAACTTGTCAGGTATGAGCTTTTTGGAATGGACTGTGCAAGGTGTTTGTTTATTTCTTTATTGTTTTGTCACTGGGAACTTTTGGCATCATTTGTTCTGTGTAGCCATCCCTGGTGAACAATTAACGGGTAGCTAGTATGAGTTTACCTGTGAGACACTCCCCTCTTCCTTTAATATTAGTCTTTATCAACTGGTTTATCAAAATTCTTCTAGTGCTAAATTTTTTTTAAAAAAGATACTATTAAAAATATTAGTACCATTAAGTAGGTAATCTTAAAGCTTTTCACTGGAAAAATAAAATCTCATCAGCTTTAAATAGCTCAGGGACAGTAAATTCAAATGGTGAGAGAGAACATGAATTTTATTCTGTATATGAGTCATCCATTTGCTTCTTTTTAAACCAGTTAGTTTTGCACTTAGTCACAGACCAGCCATCGTCTCCCAGGGTGAGTTCTTTGGTCACAAGAGAAACGGGCTTTGTGAAAACATTCCGGCTACAGTAGCTTTTAATGGAAGCTTGTGGGACTTTGCTGTCATTCACCAGCACAGAGTAGCATGTCACAATAACCTTGTCACAGGACAAGTGTCACATCCATTGTCTCAAGAGATCCACATAATAAGTAGGTCAGGCATCTTTATCCCCGTCATTCAAGTGATGAAACTGAGGTGAATCAACTTAGTGGCAGGGCTCTCACAAGAACCAGATGATGACATATTAGATTTCATTTAATCTTACAGCAGCCCCATGAGGTATATTCCATTATCACCTTTCATAGATAAGACACCTAGGTTTAAAGAGGTTAAATAAATTATTCAAATCACATGGCCATAACCCAGCAATGCACATGGATTGTCAGGTCTTTGATCTCCTTGAAATATTTCTGTGAAAAGCCTGTCATCCATTCTTGTATCATTTGTTCATTTGTGTTTTCAACAGGCAGGTTTCTGAGCCTCTCCTTGAACCCCAAGCTCATCATAAAATCCGCCTGCAGTGATTCCCTGCCCTTGTTTGTGCTGTGTGTGCTAGCTGAGAGAAAGGGACGAGCTGCAGCCCACTGAGCCCCGCCTGCCTGACCACGAGCCTCGCGCTCTGTCCTGGTCTGCGGTGCTGGGGAGGGTTTCACGGGGCTGAGTGGGCTCCCTTGTCACTGCTGCTTGGGGCTACACTTGGGTCACTGAAGGGATTTTTCTACACATCTTGTGTCTTTGTTGGCATAGCTGACACCATTTTAGTAATGTGAGTTCTAAATAGAGTTGTTTACATTCATATTTAAAAGCTGAAACAAGTATACTTACATTAAAGGCATAACAATAATTATAGGAATGTCAGTAGTAGAAAGTTAAGTATGCATATCCAAAACCTCTTTAGTAAACTATAGGGTAAGTAACCCTAGCTGCTGTAACAATCCTTCAACTTTTAGTAGTTTCACATCATCAGCAATTTCTGTCTTGCTCACATCCTAATTCTGTGTGTCTCAGTGGAGTTGGGGGTGGGACTCTGCTCCACAAAGTCACTAGGGACCCAGGCGGCTTTCTGTCATCAACACATGGCTTGATATCAGTTGATAAGGAAAGGAAATAGATGGTTATCATGCTTCCTTTTAACAGCCGAATCACAGGTGTGGTACCTCCCTTCAGCCCACAGTGTGTGAATAAGAACCAGCACATCCAGCTCAACTAGGTCCAAGAGGGCTAGGAGGTGTGGTTTGCTCGCATGCCCAGAAAGAAAAGTAAACGCATTTGGTAGGCATCTAGCCAGTCTCTGCCAGAATCTCCCCTTCTAACAGCCAGATATCCTTTCCACTCTTCCTCGAACAGAGACCTGCTCAGTCCCTCCCCAAAGCAAACAGCCCAGAGTCCTGTTCAGAATGGTATCCACCTGAAAGGCCAGGATTTCCAGGTGAAGCACAAGTCTTTTTGTCAGGCTTCAGTGTAGCTCCTCATTGTCTACTAATCCGTGAATTGAAAGACGTTACCTCCTTACCTCACCCCAGTATGATGGTGAATCTGTAAGACTACTCCTGTTCAGAAAGGAAAAGAATGAGGAAACTGTAGCAATCAGTAGTGCAGCTTGGAGAGCCACTGAATGCCCTTATGAAGACCCCCTACCTTCAAGTTGGGCATTTTCCTTAATTAGGCCATTATTCTGACCTTAAGGAGGAACTGCTTTATAAATATATTGTTCCGTGGAGCTCCTGGTTCCAGTGGTCTTGTGTCTCTTCACCATTGGCTTCAACTGATGTGGGTTTCGGGGGAGGGGATGCCCATCTTTGAGGATGCACTCTTTTCTCCACCCGCTTTCTGCCTGCAGGTAGGTGGTTCTAAGGCTGCCAGACAAGTCTCTAGCCTTTTTTTTTTTTTTTAAAGTAGAGCTGTGGTTTCTTTGTCATCTTTGTCATTACAGTTCCTTCAAAAAGTTTTTTAGGATTCTGATCTATTTGGTTCCAGTTAGTCCATGTGCCAGTAACTACAATTACAGAGCATTAGGTTTTGGTTTTTTTTCTTTTCTCAGTTTAATTGCAGCTGTCTGGTTATTATGAGGAGCAATAATTTTAAGTTTGAAGATGACACCTCTAATGTGATGTTTGCTGAGGGACTGAGTCACTCTTTTCAACCAAGAATTCTCATGAAATCTTGCTGCTTCATAGCATTTTTCAGTGCCACCCACTGAAACTATTTAAGCATCACGTAATTGATAACATACTAGACATCTCCACTTTGAGCCTTAACATGAGCAGGGTCCTCTCAGAGACCCTTTGTCCCCACCACTTCTGTCTCCTGGGTTGCAGG